GCAGACCATTTACATGCATGAATAATAACCGGACATAATGACCAGTTCTCTGTTGAGCAATGAAAGGATGGAAGTGATCGGATTAGATTTCTGTGAGTTTCACAATAACAAAGCGCGGCTGGTCTTGTTGTGAGAGTTAAACAGAGATACGCTTTAGTGACCCTGCACACACACACACACACACACACACACATCTCTGACTCTGTCTACGTGTGTGTTTTAGTATCTATCAGTGTGTGTGTGTGTGTGTTTTCATATCTATGTGTGTGTGTGTGTGTGTGTTTTTTAGTAGTGTGTGTTTGCATATCTTTCAGTGTGTGTGTTTTAGTATCTATCAGTGTGTGTGTGTGTGTGTGTGTGTGTGTGTGTGTGTTTTAGTAGTATGTGTTTGCATATCTATCTACTTTTGTGTTTTAACATCTATCAGTGTGTGTGTTTTAGTATCTATCAGTGTGTGTGTGTGTGTGTGTGTGTGTGTGTGTTTTAGTAGTATGTGTTTGCATATCTATCTACTTTTGTGTTTTAACATCTTTCAGTGTGTGTGTTTTAGTATCTATCAGTGTGTGTGTGTTTTAGTATCTATCAGTGTGTGTGTGTGTTTTCATATCTATCAGTGTGTGTTTTAACATCTATCTATCTCTGTGTGTGTGTGTGTGTTAACATCTATCAGTGTGTGTGTGTGTGTTAACATCTATCAGTGTGTGTGTGTTAACATCTATCAGTGTGTGTGTTAACATCTATCAGTGTGTGTGTGTGTTAACATCTATCAGTGTGTGTGTGTTAACATCTATCAGTGTGTGTGTGTGTGTGTTTAACATCTATCAGTGTGTGTGTGTTTAACATCTATCAGTGTGTGTGTGTGTTAACATCTATCAGTGTGTGTGTGTTTTAACATCTATCAGTGTGTGTGTGTTTTAACATCTATCAGTGTGTGTGTTAACATCTATCAGTGTGTGTGTGTTAACATCTATCAGTGTGTGTGTGTTTTAACATCTATCAGTGTGTGTGTGTTAACATCTATCAGTGTGTGTGTGTTAACATCTATCAGTGTGTGTGTGTGTTAACATCTATCAGTGTGTGTGTGTTTTAACATCTATCAGTGTGTGTGTGTGTGTGTGTTTAACATCTATCAGTGTGTGTGTGTTTTAACATCTATCAGTGTGTGTGTTTAACATCTATCAGTGTGTGTGTGTTTTAACATCTATCAGTGTGTGTGTGTTTTAACATCTATCAGTGTGTGTTTTAACATCTATCAGTGTGTGTTTTAACATCTATCAGTGTGTGTGTGTTAACATCTATCAGTGTGTGTTTTAACATCTATCAGTGTGTGTGTTAACATCTATCAGTGTGTGTGTGTTAACATCTATCAGTGTGTGTGTGTTAACATCTATCAGTGTGTGTGTGTGTGTTTAACATCTATCAGTGTGTGTGTGTGTGTTTTAACATCTATCAGTGTGTGTGTGTTAACATCTATCAGTGTGTGTGTGTGTTAACATCTATCAGTGTGTGTGTGTTAACATCTATCAGTGTGTGTTTTAACATCTATCAGTGTGTGTGTGTGTGTTAACATCTATCAGTGTGTGTGTGTGTGTGTGTGTGTGTTTACATCTATCAGTGTGTGTGTTAACATCTATCAGTGTGTGTGTGTGTGTGTGTGTTTTAACATCTATCAGTGTGTGTGTTAACATCTATCAGTGTGTGTGTGTGTGTGTTTTAACATCTATCAGTGTGTGTTTTAACATCTATCAGTGTGTGTGTGTGTGTGTGTTAACATCTATCAGTGTGTGTTTTAACATCTATCAGTGTGTGTGTGTGTGTGTTTTAACATCTATCAGTGTGTGTTTTAACATCTATCAGTGTGTGTGTGTGTGTGTGTGTTAACATCTATCAGTGTGTGTGTTAACATCTATCAGTGTGTGTGTGTGTGTGTGTGTTAACATCTATCAGTGTGTGTGTTAACATCTATCAGTGTGTGTGTGTGTGTGTGTGTGTGTGTGTGTGTTTTAACATCTATCAGTGTGTGTTTTAACATCTATCAGTGTGTGTGTGTGTGTGTGTGTTAACATCTATCAGTGTGTGTGTGTGTGTTAACATCTATCAGTGTGTGTGTGTGTTCATCGGTGGAATAGCTACAGTCTTCAAACATATCGTAGTGTTTGTATTAATCCGTCTGCTCATCCCTCACAGTGTGAATGATAACCTTCTCATGGTGTAATTGGAAGGTGCCACTCGGTGAGGAATGCATCTCTGTTGAAACCATGCCTAAAGTATGTGTCGCTGCATGTCTCAGTGTGTGTCAGATGCTCACACACACACTTGCACTAGAGTTTCTCTCTCTCTCTTAGTAGCCTAAAAAACCACGAGTCATTTTATAATCGGTGTAAATTGGCTGTTAATTCGCCTCTGATTTCACGTCTCTCTTCTTATCGAACGCTTCCTGTAGCTTCCTGCTTTCCACTCTCCTTCTCTCTCTGTCTTTCTCCGAGACATGTTGCGTCTTGTCTTCTGTTCCGATGTGCAGCAACTCCCCACAGATCAGACATTTAGCATCACTGTCTCCTATAGGCTGGGAATCACCAGGCTGCCCATGATACCATACTATCACGATACTTAAGACACGATACGATGGTATTGCGATTCTACGATATGCGAAGTATTGCGACACGATATATTGCAAATCACATGCAGAATGTATCCACGTTGACAATAAAACACGATAGAAAGGCTTTAGACAATCAAAGCAGGATATTATTGACATTGAATGAATGAAAACTTGATTACAGACTCAGGTCCTGATAAAAGACAAGGCATTACATTTAATAAATTACATTCACAGCATAAAAATAATTCATAGTTTAAGAATAAATTAAATCGGTGTCCTACAAAGAGACAGCTATACCAATGTCTCCACAGCTGCGATTGGTAGCGTGTACTAAGCCTTATGTTCGATAAGGCCAAGAGGATTTCATTATCAGTCATTAAGCCGGCAAATACATTTATACACGAGACTTCTTAAAACAGCTTGTAGAGTATTGACTCCTGCAGCCACAAACATTTCACTGCACTAGACCATCGAGGTCTCTTCAGCAATATTCTCATGGCATCATTATGAGCTACTTGAAGTTTCCGTAAACTTGCTTTTCTGTTTGACCACAGATGTGCCGTTTAGAGCGGTGTGCAAAATGCTCTGAACAGAGACATCTTCACTCCGTCTGTCCATGCACTAAACCTACGTAGGAGAATGTTTGCTTGTGCACATCATGCGGCATTGCCTATAAATATCTTCATTTGTAATTTGTTCTGTAATAAAGTAAGAGTTACATTAAAAACATTGACCCTCCTCTGTGCGGACTCAAAGTAGAGCTGCACAATTTATTGACAGATTGATGCATTGATGACGTGTTTTTGTCTGTTAGGAAGTTAGTATCTCCACATTTCCAATTTTCACTTTCTGATGTCTTCTCCACATCACCATGCTTCCCCTGTGCGTCACCATGCGTCCCCGTGTGTCACCGTGCGTCCCCGGTGTGTCACCGTGCGTCCCCGGTGTGTCACCGTGCGTCCCCGGTGTGTCACCGTGCGTCCCCGGTGTGTCACCGTGCGTCCCCGGTGTGTCACCGTGCGTCCCCGGTGTGTCACCGTGCGTCCCCGGTGTGTCACCGTGCGTCCCCGGTGTGTCACCGTGCGTCCCCGGTGTGTCACCGGCCCCGGTGTCACCGTGCGTCCCCGGTGTGGTGTGTCACCGTGCGTCCCCGGTGTGTGTCACCGTGCGTCCCCGGTGCGTCACCGTGCGTCCCCGGTGCGTCACCGTGTGTCACCATGCGTCCCCGGTGCGTCACCATGCGTCCCCGGTGCGTCACCATGCGTCCCCGGTGCGTCACCATGCGTCCCCGGTGCGTCACCATGCGTCCCCGGTGCGTCCCCGGTGTGTCACCGTGCGTCACCGGTGCGTCACCGTGCGTCCCCGGTGCGTCACCGTGCGTCACCGTGCGTCCCCGTGTGTCACCGTGCGTCCCTGGTGTGTCACCGTGCGCCCCCGGTGCGTCCCCGGTGCGTCCCCGTGTGTCACCATGCGTCCCCGGTGTGTCACCATGCGTCCCCGGTGCATCACCGGTGCGTCACCATGC